ACAAACTTCAAAACGCTACAGAATATTTACAATTGAATATTTTTAAGATATTTTTTTACTAAAATTGTTCTTAAATTCTACTCTACAAAATAGCTATCTTAGATTTTTTTTTTACATTTTATTTAAAATTTAAAAATAATTAATATTTTTAATAAAATGTAAAAAAATTAATTATTGAGATATAGCTATAGACCTAACGTATAACTATTATTTAAAAAAAAAATCAGCTAAAAATATTAACTGGATCAAAAGTTATTTAAGTTGTCAGTGAGTGGTGGGCCACCCTGTATACGTTTGTCATAAAAATAATAACTACTGTATAATTTTTCTGTAAAAATTACAATACCAAATTATTAAATATAAATTTAATTACTATAATAAATATTTATAAATATATTACACTTAAAAATTATAAAACTTATAATCAAGATATAAATAAGAAAATAGGAGATCATGTTGCTTTTGATATAATCCACCAAATTTTTAAAATTAATCGCTATTAACATATTTGCATCGAAGTGTTAATTATGATAGAGATTTTAATCACTGTCAGATATCATATAGACTAGACCAAACTAGTCACATCCCCACTGTACTGGGTTTTTTAAGCACAATTTTTTTATAAAAACTTTTCTTTTATATCACAAACAACTTTAAAAATAAAATATTTCAACTTATATTCAATTCAATTAAACAAGAGATGCATGATTTTCTAATTAGATATAAAACAAAATTTAAATATTTTTTTTATTTCTTTTTGTAAAATGTATATGTAGGAATAATAAACGCTTTATGTGTCTCTGCCATCAAAATCAGTATCGATTACATTATTGCGACGTATGTCATGTCAGTATAATTCGCTCAAATTAGTAAATCAAGTCTTATATTAAAAAATATAAAAGTCTGACCAAGTCGATAAAATAGAATATAAGTCAAATATATATTTATTGTGTAATAATATTTACTTACTAGCACACTCCACGGTTAAGAAAAAAGCTTTTTTATTTGTCAAGTTTATTTTATTTGAAAACTATATCCTTAATTATGAAAAAAATTAAACGAAAATAGATTAAGAAAAATTTACGTATACTCCACTTAAATAATTATAAAATAGGGATGTGTAATTTAAAAGATTTTAAGAATAGATGTAATATTTTTTAGGCATGCAAATTAAGGCCAGCTTGTTTTTTTCTACATATTTATTGCTAAACTGGTCTTTTCGCTGTTCATATGGTGCTATGATATTAGCTTTAGCTCCAGTAGCAAGCACAAGTCATTGGAACGTAATAGATGCAGTGTTACAAACTCTGGTAGCAAGAGGACATAATGTAACAGTAATTACGCCATTTGTCAAAAAGTATCCCATTACTAATTATACTGAGATTCTAATTCCAAAAGGAAAAGAATCAGCAATAAGTATGCATTGGAATTATGTAATGAATGAATGCTCCATGGGAAATAGTTTACCAATATTAAATGAACGACACCAAAATACATGCAAATTTTTGTTTGGTCTTGAGGAATTTTGGAGAACAATAAGAACAATCAAGTAATTTTTTCAAAATATATTTTATAAAGACAATATGTTAATATTAATACAGGTATTTAAAAAGTAAAGAAACAGGCCATTTGTTACGATCAAAGAGAAAAATAGAAAATTTTTTTCTTTACTTACTGAACACTCTATAATATAATATAATATAATATAACTTTATATTATAAAGTTTTTAATGACGTTCTATAGCTATAAAAATAGAGTTACAGAGATATTTATGATTTTAACGATTTATTTTTAGGTTCGATCTATTTATTACAGAGTGGTTAGCTTCATCTTGCGATTCATACGTGTCCTATCACTTACAAATTCCTCAAATTGTAATTGCCACAAGTCATGTCCACACATGGTATCTCGATACATTTGCTAGTCATTTGAATCCTGCATACGTCTCAACTTTTCATGTTTCTTTTGCAATGCCTATGAACTTCATGCAGCGGTTTAAAAACTTTGTGGATTACTTATATTCGCATATAGTATTTAGATGGGTTGATCGTGATGCGATAGACATAGGCCGAAAATACTTTGGACCGAACGTGCCGGATGCCAATACCCTCATGAAAGATACTTCACTGGTATTTACTAACGGGCATTTCACTGTAGATTTACCAAAACCCTTGTTACCGAACTTTATTGATATTGGAGGTATACATTTAAAACCTGCAAAGTCACTATCGGAGGTAATACAATGACTTACACTCTGATTAAACGTTTTATTACATCTATTATTTTAATCATTTTTAATATAATATATTCTAAGATCTTTTGAAATATATTTTTATTGGTTTATTCTCTTTTAGGATGTAAAAAACTTTATCGATGGGTCGACAAATGGTGTTATATACTTTACTTTTGGTTCTACGATTAAAATGGACACAGCACCTTTGCATTTACAAAAGTCTTTCATTGAAGCATTAGCAGAAATACCATACAGAGTGTTATGGAAATATGAGAGTTCAAACATTGATCATTTACCAAATAATGTAATGGTTCGAAAATGGTTTTCCCAAAGAGATATATTAGGTGAGTTACGAATTTTTAATAATTATTTGAAAATTTATTGATATGTTATTGCAATAGCAACATTAATATTTGGCTAGAACAAAGTTAAATAAACTAAAAATTTGAATTTTGGTATGTTTAGCTCATAAAAAGGTAGATTTGTTTATTTCACACGGAGGAATATCAGGCATATATGAAGCTATTGATAGCGGAGTGCCTGTGTTAGGAATTCCAGTATTTTTTGATCAGTCACGAAATATAGCAAATATAGTACACTGGGGCGCAGGTCTAATGCTTGACCACAATACTTTGACTAAAGATATATTAGTAAATACTATCAACGAAATGATGCAAAATAAAAAAAGGTAATTTTATAAATAAATTTAATAAAAAGTTGTATTTAATTGACATTGGCTTCGTCGATAATATGAAAAAAATTCAAGCTATACATACAATATGAATAATTTTCACAGGTACAAAGAAAATGCTACTAATTTATCCCAACGGTTTAAGGATCGGCCTAGAACACCAAAAGAGGATGTTGTGTACTGGTCAGAGTATGTTATAAAACACAAAGGTGCGAGTCATTTGAAATCGACTGCGTTGAATCTATCATTATTGGAGTACTTACTATTAGATATTATAACTCTAATTGTTTTAGTCTTATTAGTTATAATTTACCTATTTTATTTTATTTTAAAACTTGTAACGCGTTCAATGTGTACGTGTTTTAAACAAAAACGTGACTAATTAAATTATTTTAAAATGAAAATGTACTAGGTGACTCTTTTATCATTAACATATTAGATCTCAATTGTTACCACGCGGTCTGTACTAACCAAAAACACACGTCATCCGGGTTGGCAATGCACACAATGAACCTACAGGTCTGAATGTAGTTTTTTATTTAACACTAACAACTGAAATTAAAACTAATTGAAACTATAAATTGATTACGATGAATAAACCTTTTCAAAATTAAAAGAAAATTTTTTCAAGTAATTCGATTAATTAGGAAGAAGTTATTAAATTAGTACCCTATTTTTGAACATTCAATGTGTAAATGACCAAAACTTATTTCTTAGCTGAAAAAAATAAATTTGCCATTTATGTTATGCAATATAAATTTTTTAACTTACAAAGTGCTGTGTCCCACCTAGGATGAGACACGGTAACGAGTTGGAGTCGAATGTTGTTTGTTATGTGAAATAAAAGTACTCTTAAATCGAACAAAAAATACAATCGTATGTTAAACTTTAGAAACTACAATTATTTATAAGGTATAACATTAATCGTCTTAAAGTCATCACTCTCAAGTCATAATAAAATTTTATTCGTACAACCGTTCGGACACGATTAATTAATGCTTAATCGAAACTACCCGTTGTCCACTACTAATTACTCACTAACCTTACTACACTAATACCATAGTACCATACGAGTTCGTACCATTAGTTTCCCATTTTTAAAAATGAAATGTGTAAATGACCAAAACTTATTTTTTAGTTGAAAAAATAAACTTGCCATTTATGTTATGCAATATAAATTATATAACTCACAAAGTATTAAAGTCATATTTTATGATTGGCTATGTAATAAATAGTTAAATTTTCCTATGTTCATTTTAAGTTTATTGAAAAATTGTTGTTGTCTTCTAGTATGATTTTTTTTTTACCCAGTTTCAAATCAAAATATTTTTTGCTCATACAACGAACGATAATAATTACAACTTATTATTTATCAGTTTAAATTTGATTACGTGAATTCGTACATCATGTAACTCTTAATGTTTGATTTGGCGAATTTATTAAATTTATTAATCAAATTTAAAATAGGAAGTATTTAGTATGATTTTCAATGTATATAAAGTTATTGACGTTTTTATACAATTATGAAAGGTAAAACATCTTTAAGATTTTAAAATTATTTTTTTTTGATGTAATTTAATTTTTTTTTTTTATAATATGTTAACACATGTATACTTTCTAAATTAAATAAATTAAAAATTTATATTTAATTATTTATTTTAGAATTTTTTTTAACAGCATTTTTTAAATAAATAAATTGATTATTTTCTTTTTTTCTTTTTTTCTATATTGTATTTGTACATTACCTCTAAACTTAATTATTTTTTTACTTAAGTGTATTTTTTATGATGTTCATAACTACAATCATTCAAATTTTGGCCAGCCTACTGGGTACTATTAATGGAGCGAATATCTTAGGAGTATTTCCTGTAACAAGTTATAGTCACTGGACTGTGTATGAAAGTGTAATGATAGCATTAGCTGACCGTGGTCACAATGTAACCGTCATCACATCATTTCCACAAAAGTCACTGGTGAAAAATTTAGTAGAAATTGACGTTTCCGAGTCATTTCCTTCTTCATCAAATAAATTAAGTATTGATAAAGCAACTAACGTTGTATCCAATGCATTTACCAATCAAAAATTAGTAGCTGCTCTATCATTGAGATTGTGCAAAAAAGGAATACAACTTCCTCAAGTGCAGTATTTACTTAAGAGTAACATTCAATTTGATGTGGTGCGTTATAACTTAATATTTTATGTTGAAAATATATCTTTAAATATTTTATAAAGAGATTATCACACTAAATCTATCACTAAACAATTGACAGTCTAATAATTTACTATTATATATTAACTTTATTATACAATCCAATAATTATATGATTATTTCAATTAAGATTTGTCATATTTTATTAATTATTATTTAATCATATCATATTTATTTTATTTTACAAATTTCAACGTTAGTAAGTATTTAGATAAAAATGTTTTAAATTTTTCGGAAAAAATTGTATGATTATGCATCTATAGGTCTTTACAGAAATATTTGGTGCAGATTGTGATGTTGGATTTGCTTATCATTTTAAAGCACCTTTAGTGTCTATTATATCTAGTACATATTTGCCTTGGTGCTATGATCGTGTTGGTAATCCAGATAATCCATCTTATATTTCAACTGTGCTGACTAAAGCAACAAACAACATGAATTTTTTCCAACGAGTTACTAATACTCTTAATTATATCATTCACTTAAAAATACTTTGGAAAATTTTAAGTGATTGGCCCACTGAACATTTTCTTAAAGAAACATATGGATCAAATACTCCACATATTAATGACATAGTGTATAATACTTCAATGGTCTTTGTGAACAGTCATTTTACACTTGACGGATCCCGTCCATTAGTACCTAATATGGTAGAAATAGGTGGAATTCATGTTAAAACGCCTAGATTATTACCCCAGGTAAATAAAAAAACTATTTTAATTTTTGACTATTCTTTTGGTATATTTTAATATTTTATGAAAATGTTTCTAGAATATTTTAAAATTTATTGAAGAGTCACCTAATGGAGTTCTTTTTTTTACACTTGGATCTATGGTCCGGAGTTCGTCTATACCAACTAATGTGCTTCAAATTTTTATGGATGTATTTGCGTCACTGCCAATTAGAGTTCTATGGAAATATGAAAGTGATATGCTAGAAAAACCGGATAATGTTTTTCTAAGCAAATGGATGCCCCAGAGAGACATTCTTGGTACGTTTTTGAAAAAAATTATTTTTTTAAAGAATTATTATTAATGAATTTCTAATATTTAGATCATCCAAAAGTCCAAATTTTTATGACACATGGAGGCAATTTAGGCATAATTGAAGCTGTTCACGTCGGTAAACCTGTTATAGGGATTCCATTTTTTCTAGATCAACCTAGAAATATCATAAAATTAGTAGAACAAGGTGCTGGAATAATGTTAGATTACAAATCACTTACAAAAGAAACTCTTTATCATGCTATTAATTCGATGATACAGAATTCTAGGTAATATATTATTTCGCTTTAAATTTTTTTATTTGAAATCAAATATCATACGTTTTTATTTATTTTACTATCTAATTTTTATCTTTTAATTGAAACTATATAGTTTATAGTATAATTCAATGTAAACTCTTATAAGATAAATAATAAAAAATTTTAATTGTAATAGCATAAGTATTACTTTAAAACTAATTTTTTACAAACATTATTAATTTTTAGTTACAATATAAATGCCAAAATTCTATCTAAGAGATTTCATGATCGACCTATGTCAGCTTCAAAAACTGCTGTCTATTGGACAGAATATATTATAAAAAATAAGGGAGCATTGGAATTACGTAACGCAGCCATAAAAATACCATGGTGGAAACTACACTCTATTGATATGGTTTTATTTGTTGCAGTGATACTTTTATGTACACTTTACATAATTTTTATTTTATTTAAAATTATATTAAAATTTCTATTATATTTAACTGTACCATAATGAAAAACTGTGAGTAACTTTATTCAAAATAATTATTTTTATTTAAAGAATGTATATGTTTTTAATTATATTACCTGAACATTTTATTTCACAATTATAAATGTGTTAATAGTAATTTATTTAAGAAACGAAATTTAATTCAGCTTACAATGACAGGGTGCGTATAGTTGTTTATTATTAAAAAAAGTTAATTTTGTTTTGTCAGGTTAAGAATTAAAAATTTAGTGTTATTACCCTAATCTACGACTAATATTTCGGAAGTTTTTAAAATTTTTACAATTTGGCGGGAGGAAAAGTAAAGCTAAGAAATGTCCAATGATGACAATAACAAAACTCGCACCTCACTTCGCCTTTACTTTAAATTTTTAATAACTTCTGAAATACTGGTTCAAAAGTATTAGAGTTTTTTTGTTTCTATTTGAAAAAATAAGTTTAACCTCATAAGGTGTAAGAATGACTATAAAAAATACTTCATGATTGATAAAGTATGTAACTAAAAGAAAAAAAGCAAACTATCAATATTATTTTTCAATTAAATGTATATATATTAAGTTAGTATAAAAAAATTTATCTTCTTTTTTTTTGGAGGAGAAGGAATGTGACAATCAATTGCCAATTAAAATATCTTTACATAGTTTATCGCAATTAAATTCGATTAATTTTTTTTTTTAATTAAGTCATGAATTATTTTATTTCTTTAAATTAATTTAAATCCTTAATTGTAATGTGTACAAATAATGTATAATATATGAGATGAGTGTATAAATAAATAAAAAAATGTTTTTTCTCATCCAATTGTAACTAAATGATCATAATTTAGAATTTTACATTAAAAATAAGAATTTTGTTTTATTAAACCTATTATTAAGTTTTAAAAATGTTAAAAACTATTCATTAATATGTTTAAGAGTGATTGAATAATAGATCTCTGAACTAAATATAAAATTATTTATATTATCATGGTTATATAATTATATAATAAAGAAAACGTTAATTTTATAAAATTAAATAACCATTAGGTCATCAATCAAGCTTATAGTTACATAAAACGTATGGAATAGGATAAGATTATTTATATTTAGTATATGTATAGTTTATTGTAAAAATTTGACTTCACTGTATAATTGAAAAAGTAAGTAAGTTGTCAAATTATTAAAATTACTTAAAAACATTCATGTCTCACGCTGGGTTGTAAAAATTAACTTTATTTAGGGTATTATAGCATATACTTTTCAATATCATAGCGTTGTAAGAGGAAATTAACATAAATGCTGTATTTAAAATTACTATAATACTACATTATATCTATTTCATTTTTTAAGGTTTTAGAAATTTACACATAAATGAAGACGATAAGTATATTAACTTTTTGTCTTGTTTATTATTCAATTTGCATAAATGGGGCGAATATCTTAGGAGTATTTCCTCTCAACGGTTACAGTCATTGGACTGTATCTGAAAGTATAATGAAAGCGTTGGCAGCCCGAGGACATAATGTAACTGTAATTTCACCATTTCCACAAAAATCATCTGTTTTTAACTACACAGACATTGACATATCGGACGCTTTTTTCTCAATGGTAAACAAAATGAATACTGATATGGTCCTTACGGGAAAGTTATCAAACTTACATAGCCTTCAACAATATATATCTAACCATCAATTGAATCTTTGTCGTAAAGGAATAAAACTTCCTCAAGTACAAGCATTACTAAACAGTGGCATTAAATTTGACGCGGTATGTTGAAAAACTATAGAATTACTATAAATGGAACATCATTGTTATAATTTAGCTAATTTTTTTTAGGTTTTTACAGCAATTTTTGCATCGGATTGTGATGTAGCGTACGCATATCATTTTAAAGCTCCACTTTTGTCTGTTATGTCTACAGCACATTTACCTTACACATACGATCGTGTCGGTGGTCCAGATAATCCATCATATGTGCCTACAACTACAACAAAAGCAGTTGGCAAAATGAATTTTAAACAACGTTTAATAAATACTCTTTACAATATTTATTTTAAATATACGTGGAAGATCAATAGTGAATGGCCCGCTGACATGTTTTTAAAGGAAACATTTGGGCCCAATACTCCTTACATAAATGATATTGTATACAATACATCTTTAGTATTTGTAAATGGCCAGTTCTCATTGGATGGACCTCGTCCACTTGCAAACAATATGGTGGAAATTGGAGGAATCCAAATCCAGAATAGGAAACCAATACCAAAGGTTACTAATAAGATAATTTATAGATATTCGTTACTAAAATTAAAATGCATTACTATTAAAGATAGTAACTATAGTTTATTTATAGGATATATTAAAGTTTATTGAAGATTCTCCAAATGGTGTAATGATATTTTCAATGGGATCATTTATGCGTGTATCATCATTACCTAAACATATTCTTCAAATCTATAAAGATGTTTTTTCAAAACTGTCTGTTAGAGTTTTATGGAAATATGAAGAAGAAATGCCAGACAAACCTGACAATGTGTTCATTAGTAGCTGGTTGCCTCAAAGAGATATTTTAAGTAAATTATTACAAGATCAAATCAAAATAAGCCTTTATGTAAATTGAAAAAATTTGATAATTTATGACTATCTTTAAGAGTTTAAAATTCTGTTTTTTTAAATATTTCATTCAGAAATTGGTATAAATTATATTTTTAAAACATAAAATGTATATTTCAGGTCATCCAAAAGTTAGACTTTTTATGACACATGGAGGTAATTTGGGTATACTTGAAGCTGTATATTCAGGCGTGCCAGTTATCGGAATTCCATATTTTTTCGATCAGCCTAGAAATATATTAAAGGTTGTTGAGCAATGTGCTGGAATTTTACTAGAATACGAATCGTTAACTAGAAAGACCCTAAGTGATGCTATAAATAAAATTTTAATAAACAAAAAGTAAGAAATTTATATACATTTTTCGAGGTTTAGAAATATGATAGTAAAAAAATGTTTTCATTTTATTACTTATAAAACTTGATTTATCTGTTGAGTATTTTTTAGAATTATTTCTTGTACTTTATTGGGGTATTAATATTAAGTGTTCAAATGTATTTAGGTAATTTATTTTTAACTAATGCTATAAAATTATCAGTGTTGGGAAAGTTCCTTTTTAAATGGAACTCGTTCCGTTCCCCGTTCATTTTCTAAAATATGAACTCGTTCCAGATCCTAGTTCTTTATATTAAGAAGGAACTTGTTCCAGATCCAGTTCCTCCAAAATAAGAACTCGTTCCACTCTTCGTTCCTTTTATGTAACCAAGTTATTTAAAAAATTATGACAATGAGATCATGATAACGGTCATCAATGATTTTCATCAGCAGTCGAATACAAAACAAATTTGTAGTATTCCTTATCTAAAAGTATTCGAAAATTATATTTATAAACAGGTAGTAAATGCTAACGACTTGTGTCAACGCGACCAATGTCTATTGTCTACATATAAGTTAGAAATAATAAATCAGAAAACCCAAAACCTTTAACATATATTAGTTAACAAGAAACGACGATAATATTCGGTGCATTATTTAATATATGTACACATATATTTAATATTTACTGTATACCTACATGTGATAATAACTCTATAGTCAATTGATTCATTTAAACAGCCTACGATCTCGGCTGGGTATATAGGGGACTTCCATTGTCAAAAGTCAACTAAAAATACCTTGATATTTTAATGTCTAGATACGAAGAAAACTACACTAAAACATGTTTATAAAAATTTTTAAGAACTGTAATTTCCGTTCACGTTCCTTAAAAAATGGAATTTGTTCATTTTCCTCGTTCCTTTATTTTAAAAGGAAGCAGTTCCTTCAAAAAGAACTCGTTCCAGGAATTCGTTCCTTTTGGAACCAGTTCCTTCTCAACACTGAAAATTATAATATTTTAAATATGAGTTGGGAGGCCCAACTCCAAAGTCACTTATTAACATCATGTTGTCATATAAGTTTTTAGTTATACCGTTAGTTATTTTAGTATTAACGATTTTAATATTATTTAAATTGTAACTTTAATATTCATTTTTTGTTCAGCTATTCTGTTAATGCAAAGAAGTTATCTGAAAAATTTAAAGATCGACCACTAAATGCTACTGAGGCTGTAATTTACTGGACAGATTATGTAATACGACATAAAGGTGCTCCCAACTTAAGAAATACAGCTGTTAATATTTCATTGTGGCAATATTTTCTTGTTGTTGATATAGGCTTTTTTATAATAGCTATATTTTTAATACTTTTAATAATGTATTTTATGGCTAAATTTTCATACGAAATATTAAAAAAAAAAAAGTTCTTAAATTAAATACTATATAAAATAATTTTTTTTTAAATTTTTATAATTATATTTAATTAGATCATGCTGCAATAATATAATCAGTGTATACATTTTTATTGAAGTATTAATTATTATCCTTCATTTTAATAGCAGATTTAACCTACACTGAAAAAATCTTAATGAGATTATTGTTAATAAATAGACGACAATAATTGTCAACTGTACAAACAAAATTATGTTTTGTTCAGAAAATAAAAAAATTTGTAATTTGAAGATATTGTTTATTCAATATTCAAATTAAGTAGTTTTTGGTTGTATAAACTATTTATTCTATTAGTATATATATTTTTTTAATAGAAAAAAAATTGTCGGTTGTTTAATAACGAAAAAGTTATTAGCTGCTATGTAAATCTATACATTTTTCAAAAATCTGATTTTTTACCTGNGAAAAAAAATTGTCGGTTGTTTAATAACGAAAAAGTTATTAGCTGCTATGTAAATCTATACATTTTTCAAAAATCTGATTTTTTACCTGGTCACAGGGTGTAAAAAAATTTGCTCTTAGTTAAAAACATGCTATTTTTGAGTTAAACATTGTAATTTTATATTTCAACTTAAAATTGTTATAACTTCTTAAAAAATGTACGGATCAATACAATCACAGTACGTATCTTCGCACCAAAGCACGACGCGTTACCGATTGAGTAGATAGGCCACCTACCAATCCACACAGTATTTAAATATTTTATTCGTAATAATTAAATATTAAATAATTAACAATAATTGAAATATTGAAAAAATAAAGATTTATATTAATAAATAATATTTAAAAAAAATGTATTACATTAATATAATACATTTTTTTTTAATTTATAATACGTAACATAAGCTTCAATTTAACATATGGTTAAAGGACCCGGTATTTTCAAAACATTTTCAAAAGTTAAGTTGAAAAAGTTGACTTTTGTGCAAATGTGGCCAATTTGAATCCCTCCTGTGGGCAAGTAAAAAGTCAGATTTTGACAAAATGTATAATAAACGAAAGGAAAATATCTGAGGTATCTATATATATATATAGAATTATTTAGATTTGTTCATTTTTCAAAAAGTTATGGCAATTTTTAGAAAAATATGTAGAAATTTACCGATTTTAAAAATCGTAATTTTGGGGGGGATTTTCATCATTTACGAGGAACCAGGGAAAATTTTTAATTTTTAATGGTTATTTCTTCAATTAGATACGATTTGTGATTTTTTGACGTATTGTTGAGAAAAATCGATCCAGTAAAAGCTGAGAAAAAGTAGTCAAAGAAAAAAATAAATAAATAAATAAACACATTATGGTAAAATTAATAACTTCTTATCTTCACATTGAGGCTAGTAATATGTATTATAAAATTTATAAATTACCGAATTTTTTATATGATCACTAAAATCCACCAAAAAACATTAAATTTTTGCACCCCTATGTTAAAATAGTTCTGGCGCCCCTGGCTGTGGTTAATAAACCATGAAGTGTTATAATCATATATACATATTAACTTAAATTTAACTATTAATTAACTTAAAATTAAATTCCACCTGTGGTCCAGTAATCATATTTGATAGGTATTACACGTCGCCTAGGTAGTGGCGACCCTTGCTATTATAACTAGTCGTTATGGAAATGGCAAAAAAATTTCGAAAATTAGTGAATTTTAAATTTGTAATTTTTTTGAAGATTTCGTCCATCAACAGGGAACGAGGGAAATTTTTTCAGTTTTTAAGGGTTATGTTTTTAACTAGATACGATTTGTGATCTTTTGACGTATCGTTGAAAGAAATCGGATCTGTGAGAGCTGAGAAAAAGTGGTAACAGACAAAAAAAACCCAGCACAGTGGGGTCGCGGCATAGTGGGGATGTTGCATAGTTGGGTCCAGTATAGATTTAATCTGACAGTGATTAAAATCACTATCATAAGAAACGCTTCGATGCAAATCAGTAGATAGTGTTTAATTCTAAGAAATTGGTGGATAATTACAAAAGCTACATTATCTGCTAGTTTCTTATTAATACCCTGATTAAGATAAAGTATGTCGAATGAAAAAGGGATTATTAAAAAATATTATTTCTCATAAAAAAATTGT